CATACAGTCTGAAGAAGTAACTTTTCCACACTGTGCTACAAATGAAGGAAGAGAGGACAGGATGGCAGGAACCAGAAACAAATACCCCAGCCCCCTGCTGAGATGTCCAAAGGCTGTTATTAATTGGCTCTTTGAAGGAGCCCATACAGTAAGAAGCTCATTATTCAACTGGACTGTTGCTGCTGCTGCTGCTTCAACAACTGGAGAGAAACGGGGCAGACGATGCAAGCCAGAAGTTTTTAACTAACATTGCAGGGGACTTGCATGGGAATTATTGTTCAGTAATACAGTGGTGCCCTGCTTGACGACGATAATGCGTTCCGTTAAAATCGCTGTTAAGCGAAATCATCGTCAAACGAAAGTAAAAACCCAATTGGAATGCGTCGAAAACCGGTTAATGGGCTCCAATGGGGAAAATACCTCATCATCCAGCAAAGATCCTCCGTAAGGGAAGCCATTTTCAATCGCTGTCTTCCGGAAATAGGTCCGGAAAACAGCAGGAAGCCATTTTGAGAACTGCCGATCAGCTGTTTAGAATCGTCATCAAGTGAAAAAAACAGTTCCCGAAGCAGAGAACTATTCATCGTGAAGCAAAAAATCTCCATTGGAATCATTGTTTTGCAATTGCTATAGCGATCACAAAAAGTCATCATTAAGCGATTTTGTCATCAAACGGGGTCGTCTTCAAGCAGGGCACCACTGTATAGAGATCTTTTGGCCAATGGGAGAGGTATCGGCAAACAGGGCTATAACAAGAGGCATGCTGAGCTTTGTGCTATGGATAAAGGAGGGCTTTTGTCCCATTGCAAATTAGATTGAGAAAAGGAGGTTCAAAGAGCTTTAGTGACAAAGCTTTGTTTGGTATATTACTCCTCCATCCGGTTATTATGGCATTTCCCTCAGCTTCAAAGTTAACAACAAAAAACTCCAAAGCAACCAAAATACACAAGCCCACTGCTTCCGCGTAGTCTTCCTGTCCAAAAATATTCTTGATCTTTATGGTTGTCTTGTCACATCACCTTCCTGCACCTTATGCAAGATCTGCGAATCAGAGGGCGCCTCTTCCCTCGTGTCTATTTATACACCGCTAGCGCCCATCCTTTTGGCAGCTGTGGGCCTTCTAAGAATAAGTCTGCCCAGTGAGGCGGATGAGTGCCCACACGGCCAGACTTGTCATTCCTGATGTTGAATGACAATCCAGAAGTGGGGACAGAGGGAGGTGAGAGGGTCGTTCTTGTTGGGCTCAAGTGGAGGGGAAGGGAAACTCCAGTGATTTCTTTACTGTGCGTGGGAGGAACAGCTGCTTACTCAGAGATACCTGGATTACTTAAAGCGCAATGTATCGACCTGTACACACCAGCCGGCAGGTTCTGGGGCTGCTGGATCCGTCTACATGCCCTTTCCCCCTCTCTTCCCCAAGGACCTTGCCCGAGAGACTTAAAACTGGGGTATCCCCTTGCTGGAAACTTCTTCCCTTTGATATAGACCCCTGTTCTTCCAAACGGCTCGTCTCTTCTGTCTCCTTCCTCATCTTCTGCCCCCCTCAAAGCATCAGGTTCAAGTCAGAAGATCAGTTCCTGATCTCGGGATCAGCTCTCCGAAACTGAAGAAGATGCCCCGGCCCTTGAAATTGAGGGGGATGGCATTTTCGAAGGATCACACTGATCCAGTCCAGACCCTTTGTCAGAACTGCTTCTTCTTCAAGTGGGTGATACAAAGCTTGGTGGTCATCCTTTTTCTATGGTTACTGGTCCACGGACTGCTGGGCAAGCATCAGCAAGGTGGGTATCCTGATCTGTACCTTCTTCCACACTTCTCTTTGGTACTACGGTTTCGTGTAGCCTTCACAGGGTTGGGCAGGAAGTTAGTTCTCATAATTGCCCATCATTGGCTAGTCTTGCTCAGTGTGATGAAAGTACGGTCCAAGAGCACATGCAAGTTTGACTCTGAGACTCTCTGCTCTAGGTTGATTTATGGATTTAGTACATTCGTATTCCCTCCTTCTTCCATTATGGAAATCATGGTGGCATACATGGGGATGCTGGGGGGGGACATGTTGTCTGGGGAAGGTGGGACTTGTAATATGACCCATCTGGGAAATGTTGGGTTGGCTGACGGCTGCTTCCAGTAAGACTTCCATGGAACATCTCTACAATATGGTTTCAAGGGCCAGTGCCAAAGAGACCATCCTAGACCGGAGCCAAACAGGGCCTTTTAAGGCTCTAGCTCCTGCCGTCCTCTATGGCTGGGGTCTTCTGGAGATTGCAGACCCTTTTGGAGGTTGCCATTTCCCCTCAACTCTGGATTAGGAGTCCAGAGACGTGGGGAACTGGACCGAGATCAGGTGCTTTTGGAAGATGGTGTTGGACTGGGAAACGGTGGCTTGTTTTCTCCTGGATTGCGTCAGCGGAGCACCCGCTTTTTTAGTACATTCATATTACCTCCTTCTTCCATTATGGAAATCATGATGGCGTACATGGGGTTACTGGGGGGGCATGTTGTCTGGGGAAGGTGGGACTTGTAGTGTGACCCATCTGGGAAATGTTGGGTTGGCTGACGGCCGCTTTTAGTAAGACTTCCATGGAACATCTCTGCGATATGGTTTCAAGGCCCAGTGCCAAAGAGACCATCCTAGACCGGAGCCAAACAGGGCCTTTTAAGGCTCTAGCTCCTGCCGTCCTCTATGGCTGGGGTCTTCTGGAGATTGCAGACCCTTTTGGAGGTTGCCATTTCCCCTCAACTCTGGATTAGGAGTCCAGAGACGTGGGGAACTGGACCGAGATCAGGTGCTTTTGGAAGACGGTGTTGGACTGGGAAACGGTGGCTTGTTTTCTCCTGGATTGCGTCAGCGGAGCACCCGCTTTGATAAGCAGAGGTTTTTCCATAGGTTTTATCAGTGTCAAGTTAAGGCCAGGTTTATTTTGGCTTCTGAGCAAACATGTCTCGCTGATGTAATCATTCCAGAGCGGCTGGGCAGCAGTCCTGTTCCTTTTTCGTTCGTTCTTTTTTTTCTCTCTAAGAAAAAAAAGATGCAGGATTGCGCCCTTAAGATTTGCCTGGTTGATCATCTCTTGAAAAGAAGGGTGGTTTCTTTGAACAATAGAACTGGGGGGCTGGTTTGTGTGTTGAGCTTTTATCCAGTGAACAGGGGGAGAGTAACCTGGGTGTATGGCCCAGGACTCCCAAAAACTGCAAACCACACTTTGAGGACAATAAGAAGATCTGGCAGAAATGCAGGATGGGGTTGGGGGGCCTCGGGCCTCAGGATCGAACCCAGGAACAGGTGATACCTTTCATCAACCGTTAAGAATATAATATTTTTAAAAAGCAGAAAACAAAAACAAACCACGTTTTTGACGATAAAACATCTTCAAGCCTATGCACCAAGTTCTTGTGGGTAATTCCAATTTATAGGCAGGGCTCAGGATTGAACCCAGGAATAGGTGATACCTTTCATCGACCATTGAGAATTATATTTTAAAAATCAGAAAACAAAAACAAACAGCAAGTTTTTGACGATAAAACATCTTCAAACCTATGCACCCAGTTCTTGTGGGTAATTCCAATTTATAGGCTGTTATTAATGTCCCTGATCCACATGGATGATGATGTTGAAGGCAGGTTCAGTTCTTAGATGGTGATACTGCCGTACGCAAGTTGTTTTCAAGCTCCTTCCCAGCTACCAGTTTGGAACCGATGGCCCTTTCCCCTTGCTTACATACAGTGTGTTTTCCTGTGTTTGGGATCTCTCTCCACCACACAACAACCCACCCCATTCATTGGGGGCACCTGGAGCTTCTGTGGAGCAGAGGGACGTTGTGAGTGTTTTAGGAATGAGAGGCAAGGCAGCCTGCTTCCCCCAGTCCAGTGGCCCTGCTCCAAGATGGAGTCCACGTAACAGGTTCTTTTAGATAGGCTTTCCTTGGAGATGTGATGTAAAGGGTCCTTCAACAGCTTTGTGTACATCAACAAACAAGAAACAGGGTGCCCCATGGGGGTGCTTCCTGCATGGACCCAACCCATTTGTACAAGACAATCAATTTGTACACATGGATCTGATCAGAAACACCTGCAGTTGTTTACATACTATTTAAAGAGTGGGCACACTTTTTATAGAATTGGGACATGGTGCAATATTTCCCACGGATTCTTTTTTTTTTTAAATCAGCTTCCTTGGAAAGAAAGAAAGAAAGAAAGAAAGAAAGAAAGAAAGAAAGAAAGAAAGAAAGAAAGAAAGAAAGGGGAGGAAGGAAGAGATTGATGCACTTAATTGTTTTGGACTTCCTCTCCCAGTGACCCTGCTGATAAAGGGATTTAGGAAGATGTAGTGTAAAATGTTCAAACGGTGCATGAAGATATAGTCTCACACTGTGTATCAGTCTACCGCCTTTCATGGCTAGGGTGGCCACTTAGTTAGTTATGTACCGTCAAGATGGAACCAGCTTCCAGCAACCCTAATAGGGTTTTCAAGGTGAGTGAGACATCCAAGGAGTGGCTTTACCAGTTCTACCACCACCTAAAATGAGTTTCCATGGCCAAATGGGGATTCCACCTCAAATGAGTTTCCATGGCCAAATGGGTATTCAAGCCCTGGTCAACCGTGCCCTCGTCCATCACTCTTATCTACTACACCACACCTAGTCTCCAGGGTGATGACTTAGACAGCACCAAAAAGGATAAAGGATGACTAAAATGAAGGATAAAGGAGAGCTCCTTATTGAGATGTATAGATGCAAAAAATAAAAGTTGATTTTATAATTTAAACAAATCTTGTAGTGGATATTCACCTGAATAAAGAAAAGAATGGCCATTTGATATGTATAACTGCTGTGACTTGTGAGGCCAGGTAGCTTGTGTGCCAGGTCCTAAGTGTAGATGGAGAAACATCAAGGTCTCTGATGTCCCTCCTTCAAGTCAGGATTATCTTCCCCAGAAGAAGCCAGGTGGCCACCAAATTTATTGCTCTCTCTCTCTCTCCCTTTCCCCCCTTTCTCTCTCAGTGCATTTGCAGATATTCCTGGGTGTGGGACTGGCTCTCCTTTGCTTCTGCCTTCTCCTTGGCTGCGCGATATGTTGGTACCAACGCAAGAAATGCCTTCTTGACGACAGCCAACCGCAGGGGCCAGGGCGGACACTGGTGGACCTTGCTCCGGTCTTGCCTTCCAAGATGGCCGCTGTGCCCATCCAGCAGCAATATCTAGAGATTGAAGGAGAGGTTCTGGGAAAACCACCTCTTGCAGCGGTGGCTGATTCACCAGACTCTTCCTGCCAGGAGGACCCACCTCAAGGAATCCCTCGTGGTCGGGCTTCTCTTCCTAGCATACAACTCTCTCAGAAATTCAGCCTGCCCGTCAAACCTCCTCTAGGCCGAGAACGCCGATGTACCATCTCTGGGGACATCCTGTTTGGCAGAGAAAGACTTCCCCTCTCCAGCCCCATACTGGGCACCAACTTCCCCCAGTCTTACACCATCCCGCGGAGTTTGTCCAGTGCTACTGGGAAGCCGAGGCCACACCTCCAGTTCACATTGTTCTATTCCCAGCCCGAGGCCACGTTGATCGTGACCGTGATTGGAGTCTCGGACTTACCCAAGGGCCTCGGGGCCACTCGGACTTCCTACGTCAAAGTCTACCTCCTTCCCAGATTCGTGGAGCCCCGGCGCACTGCCTTGTGCAGGAAAAGCTTGAACCCCACGTTCCACGAGCCGTTCCACTTTGGCCCCTACAGCCTGGAAGAGCTGCAAAGCCTGACGCTGCGCTTTACTGTGTATGCCAAGGAATTCCATCACCTGAAGGATTCCTTCCTTGGAGAGGTGATGTTTCCGTGTGCTCAAGTGTCCTGGAACCAAAACGTTTCCTCTGCTTACACCCAGGAGCTGTCGGCCACTAAAACCAAGCTCAAAAAGGTGAGGACTGTGTTCCATAACACACGCTTTCAGGAACTGCTTTGTGATATGTCCCATTGTTCAAAAGCTTGCAAGTCAGACCACAAGCTGCAAGGAAGGTTTTGAATGACTAAAAATCTGCCCCTACGGATGAAGTCATTACTTTTCTGCAAGCATAACTTATGCAATACAATTTTGGCCATTTCTTAAGGGACCACAAGATGCTTGTTAGCAACAGGGTTCAGAAGTTATTTTAAAAAGTAATTAGTTACTGTTATAGTTCTGAACTCAATCTTTATAGCAATCATGACATCAGTCCTCCTTCCACAGCAAATACATTCTTTTTTTCCTGTTGTGGCAAGACAGCAATAGCTTTTTTTTATGGTCTCAAAGAGAATCTGTGCATTTTCATTACTGAATTTAGTGCAATTTCATAAAACTGAAAACTTCGATCCTTGCTGGCTTGTTATTGCACAGCCTTTTAAGAAATAAAGCATTTGATGGGTTACTTGCATCTTTTTGAGCAGCTGGCTCATTACAGACGATGGCGGGATCTGTGAGAACAAATGGCCGCCTTGGGTGTTAATGTATTCTTCCCTTTTATCACATACATCTGAATAATGTTAATACAATTATAAGCAACTATCATAATTTTATGGACGCTGTAACAAATATATCACAATGGCTGAAATCCTTTTGTGCTGATGCCATCATCATCAGTGGGCAATTGCTGCTTATCAAAGCCTTCCTTTGGTGATTTTGGAGTGCATGTGACTTCATGGCATTACGTATAAATCATGTGCATCCCAAGAATAGTTAAAAGGAAATCAGTGGTGATTTCCTGCTGGAGATGATGTTGCTTCTGTTGCACTACAGCATTCTAGCTGATATAATATAAAACTTACACAGCAAAAGATCAGCTTCCCCCTCTCTCCATTTGTCTCCTGCTTTTTTAGAGTTTTAGTTCTCAGGACACGATTTCCGCCACCTTGCTGTCCCAGCCCAAGTCCCAGGGCCAGCTGTTTCTCCTGCTTCAGCACCAAGCGCTAGCCAACCGCATCAAAGTTCTGGTCCGCAAGGCAGAGAACCTGGTACGGCTCAGCCGAATCCCAGGGACCCCAGGTAGGTTACCTTTGCCGAAATCCTCTGTGATTTCGGATTCTGCATTTTCCTGCCAGTATCAGTGGATGCATGTAGAGCAGCCATCAGCTACAAAACTGAATTCTCTTGCTTTCCCTCTTTTTCAGACCACCATGTGATAATACACCTGTACTATAATGGGAACATCATCGACTCGAAGGAGACCAAGCCCATAGCAGGCTACAATCCTGTGTGGAATACTCCATTCCTGTTCAACCTTCCTGCTGGAGACATTCAAGAACAGCAGCTGGCCTTGGAGTTCAAAGTTGTGCAGGTGAGGAATGAAGCCTTTGTGACAGTGGGCTGCCTGTACCTGTAAGGCCGGCCCAAGCCTTGATTCAGGTGTCCTTCCAAAGCAAACAGTCGCAGTGGTGAGATTCCTGCGAGCTGATCAAGGAGCCATAGTGAATTTTCAGGCTGGGTTGCATTTAAGGGCACAGTTGTGAGGTTTTTCTTGTGCTTAGTTCAATGAAACACCTTCCTCACTCTATATAACATTTTGATTCTTATCTCCTATCACTGATCAGAGATACCAACTTCCTAGGCTTTAAATAGCCTCTTATCTCTGATTACCGATCCAGGATAAGATGAAGATTGTCCACAGGACTTGGGAATGCCCATGAGCTGCATCCATATCAATGTCTGGAAGTTCCCCATCTCTGGCATAACGCAATTTACTTTTTTGGACTATAACCAGCAGAATTCTCCAATCTGTAGGGCCACTCTGTGCTCCCCCCAAAAATCTCACTCTCCAAGCTCTAAATTTAAGTCATATGAGTGAATCGCTCAGAACATCACGAGTGATCAAGTTCAAGTTTCAATTTTATTTAGATTTAATCACCCATAGGTTATGCACCGCACCATGTTTTAGAATTTAAAATAGGTTAAAACAGAACTTTGCTACATCCACAACACAATTTTTCGCAAAGACTGCTCAAGAGTAATTTTAGTGAATAATGCGTGAGGAGAACATGAGGAATCCTTGGTCACACATTCTTGGTGAATATATGCAGAGTTCCACATTGAATCTTGTTCAAAAGGAACCAAATGTTTTTTGTCTAAATCTGGCTGTGCAAAACACTGATTGGCAGACTCTTTGGACAAAGTCAAACCATCTTTGATGTCTGGCATCATCTGGCCGTGACGGATGCTGATTGGCTTTCTTCAAAAAGAGGATTGAATTCTCAGCAAAGTGCAAACATCTATGCCAGTGGCAAAGGCAGGTTTATATCCCTGCAACAGCCTTCTGCCACCTGGTGCCTCCAGAAACATCTGATGTCAACTCACACTCCATTCCCAGCTAAGAGTTTTAGGCCAACACCAGCGATGGACCTCAGACTATGTTGCTAAGTGGGGAAAAAGGATGGAACATATGGGTGTTTTGTGAGCAAAAGAAAAACATGCATGTGTACCTGGACAGAGATGTGGCTGTTCATATGCAAATATTGCAATGATGGTGATGCATTGAGACTGCAACCTGGCTCACTCTACATCTCAAGAATCCTTCTACACAACTCGCACCAGACTGTTCTATCAGGTGTTGATTTTGAAACTGCTGTTGTTACCATCGTTCTGAAAGTTGGGAGTATTTTGTACATTTGGCCAGTATCCCATTGCAGAAATGTGAAATATAAAGGCAGTTGTGTAAACGCCACTCCTGATCCAGCATTTTTCTTTTTGCATGCCCATTCTTGCACTGGTTGGAAGGCAGTCACACAACCAATCATGCCACTGGGAGCCTTACAAGATTGCTTTTCTACTCTGTGTTTCTGCAGTACGATACTGCCTTGTTGGATTACTGTATTTTTTCCGTGTATAAGACACCCCCATGTATAAGACGCCCCCCCCCACTTTTCTAACCCAAAATTAAGAAATCTAAGTGGGGCTTAGCAAGTGGAGGGGAAAGCAGGGATCAAAGCCTGGCAGGATCACTTTGATCCCTGCATTCCCCTCCACTTACAGTGGTGCCTCGTCTGATGAGGGTAATCTGTTCCAGCAAAATCGCTGTTAAGCGATATTCTCGTCAAGCAAAATAAAAAATCCCATTGAAATGCATTGAAACCCATTCAATGCATTCCAGTGGGCTGAATAACTCACTGTGCAGCGAAGATCCTCCATAGGGCGGCCATTTTCTGCTCCCTGTCTTGCGAAAAAGCCTTTCTAAAGACAGCGGGGAGCCATTTTGTACACCTGGTGGCCATTTTGAAACCTGATTATCAGCTGTTTTTGATCATCATAATGCGAAGAATCAGTTCCCGAAGCAGGGAACCGATCATCGCAAAGCGGAAAAAAAAATTCAAACATCGTTTTGTGGTAGCAAAAACTTCATCATGAAGCGGATTTGTCATCAAGCAGGGTAAATGTTAAGCGGGGCACCACTGTATTTTTGATCTCTCCTCAGCTTACGTCCATGTATAAGACGACCCTCAATTTTTAGTCTAAAGATTTTAGACAAAAGTATAGTCTTATACACAAAAAAATATGGTAACTTAGTATTTCCTACAGGAAGCTGTCAGAGTTTTGACTATTTTTTTTCTGTGTCTCCCGTTCCCTCCCCCCCCAGGCTCGCCTCTACACACGATCCTGTCATGTGGGCCGAGTACTGATTGGTCCTGATGCCCCAGAGATGGGGCGGGTCCACTGGAAGGAGATGTGCCGTCGGGGAAATGTGGAATCGGCCCGCTGGCACTCACTTCAGCCTCCAAATTTTCCACTCTGCCCTTGATACACAGACCCCAAGTTTCCTATTGGACAGTCCTTTGCCTATTGTGATATATGTTGGCTATACATCATGGGGAGTTTCCATCCACCATGTCTGGAAACAAGGAGCCCTGCAGTCAGAGCTGTAGCAGACATGTCCCAAAATGCTGCTTGAGAGACATTTCGGTACAGGAACATTTGTAAGATAAGATAAAGCAGAGTGCAGTGATCCCAAAACAGAGCAGGTTGGGAAATTCAGAACTCTGTGCCAATTCTGAGCACCCTCAAGCCAGTTCTGAACAGTCTTGAGTGTGGCCTGTTGGATGTTTATCTAAGAAAGAACTGAGTTTGCTGGGAGCTCCTCAAAAATTTTTAAAGAGCAGGTGACAATTTAGAGAGGAGAACTAAGGAAGGCACAAAAGGGCAAAAGGACCTTGTGCTTTGGTGTACTTTTCTTCCTCTGCAAAACTAATATGTCCCCCTTAGATGCACTGACCTCTGAGCCACAATCCACTGTGGCAGCTCTTGGAGAATCACCTCACCGGCACAGTTGTCGCCTGGTGATGGCCAAGGAACAGAACTGAAAACGCCACCAGCCAAACTGAAGTCAGCCTGCAGTCATGCGGGAGCTGCAGGGACCGAAGCTGCTGGAACGGGAACGCTGAACGATTTCTTGCAGTGAGATTGTTGCAGCATGGGGTTGCTGCAGAACAGACTTGGGTGGGTAGGAGAACGATCAGGATGCAAAGAGAAGAACCGGAAGGACCACAGGCAGGACCCTGGACTGTGTTGTGCGAAGGTCCTTGGCTTTTAAGACTAGCTGGAAAGGTTACAACACTGGGCGGACGGAAAGGGCAGGAGAAACTCGTGTTGCTAGATGTGTTGTCTGGAAAATGTACAACGGGCAAAATGTTTCGTATCAGTTCTATGCACTGTCATAAAGAGTCGTCACTGTGCTCATTTTCAGATGGAATTTATTTCATTAAAAAAAAAGCTTAATTCCATTCCTCTTCTAAGGAGCTCAGGGTAACCGAACATGGCTCTCCCTGTGCCATATCTTCTTCTCCCAACAATCCTGTGAGATAGTTCAATTGGAGAACGGGTGACCGACACAAAGTCCCCCAAGATAGTCCACCCTTGAATGAGCATCTGTCTTCCGGTCCTGCTTTCAGATCTTTGCTCTCTATTAGCTCTCGCCAAGCCATTTACCTTTCCTGGTAGGATGACCAGCTTTTGCAGACCAAAGTATCTGGACATCCTCCGTCTATCTGGGAAAGGCCCTGATGCACCCATGGAAGGCAGCCAGTCATGGCAGAGGGCCACCTAAAGCCCTGGAAAGCCATTCAACAGTTTTAGACCCTAGACACAATGGTCTTACTGGGAGAGGGGTGTCTTTAGAACAGGGTTGCCCAACTGGATGTATTTGGACTACAGTGCACATCATCTGCATAGGTCACGCTGGGTGAGGTGATGGGAACTGCAATCTCTATGAAATTGTGGAAGGTGTCCAGATTTTGTACAAGTGTTTCAGATGGCGAGGAACCTCACCCCATTTGGAAACTGGGGGAAGTAAGACAGGCCTGCTGAATTCAGAGGTGCCTCTTTCTTCTCCCTCCTGGGACCCTGAGCTTTCCCCACCCCAATCTTCTGCCTTGCTGGAACCGCAGTGTAGCCTGAACGGTGTCTTTGCCAAGCACAGGAGCCAGAGAGAAATCTGGAGGTCCCTGTGGGAGCCGGAGACCACCCAAAGAAAATATACCAAAAGCCCCACGCCAAAAACAAACCAATGTGGGGCACACAGCCTTTAAATGACAACAACATGATGCTTTCTTAAAAATAACGTCAAACTGCTTCAGTAGGGTGGGAGCATGAGAAGACACTATTTGTATATCCCTTTTGGATTTGACATTTGCCACCCTGCCTCTGGACCTTCTGGAGATCTACCCCACACATGGGAAAATTCCATTTTTGGACCAGAACTTCCCCAGTTCCCCAGGCAGCTGGGCCAGAGGCTGTAACAGTGGGCGGCTTTGGGCACCTCTCGTCCAGAAAAGGAGCCTTCCCCAGCTCGGAGATCTGACTCTGGATCAAGAAAGGCAAGCCAGTGGCCACCCTCTCTTTGGTTCAGTCCTCTGGAGGCTCAGGGCTTCCTCTGGCTTTAAAGGGAGACCATGGTCTCAGGGACCCAAACGGCTTGGGGGATAAAAGAATTGAGCCTCGGGGACTGAGCAAGGCCCCTTCGCTCTCAGGATCCTGGAGAGACGTTAGGGTGCCTAAGGAGAGCTTAATGGAAGGCACAGCTGGACCGGAGAGGGTTGGATCGGAGTGCAAAGGCAAGGTGGGGACAGAGGCCGAGAAGGTGTCAGGTGAGGGGCCTCTTTGCTCCTTCCCAGCATCGGTGGAAAGCTCAGGCTCCTGCCTCGTGGGTTGCAGGTTCTCTTGACCAGGCAAAGAGGACAACACAGGCTCCTCACTCTGGGGTGATGGCAACAGGCGGTCCGTCCCCTGGGTGCTTTGCAAACCCGCTCCCGAGCCGTGGAGTCTGGCAACCACCAGCTCAGCGCTGCTTCTTTCTGGCTGTTGCTTCGAAAGTCGGCGGATGTCCTGGATCTGCTGCTGGAAGCGGAGCTTAGCTGTTGGAGGGGGCAGGAGGTGGGAAACCTGAATATGCATTTACCAGATTTGTATCTACTGTTTGCAAGGCAACTCCAAGAGCGCCTAGTGTATTGATAAGGTCATAGAATGCATACAACCAAAGAGTGAAGAATGCAACATCAAACTACAGGAGGTGCCAACCATTTGAATAGCAACAAAAACAAACAAATAAACTGCGAAGGCATCACCTGCTTCAAAGTTACAACAAGCAGAGGTTATTGAAAAGATCCATGGGAAAAGATAATTTGAAACTGTAGCCTTTGTCTTTCAGCAGAGCTATTGAATGGGTGTCCCAGGGAGGAAATGCAAAACAAACAGATAAACTGTGAAGGCATCACCTGCTTCAAAGTTAGAACAAGCAGAGGTTATTGAAAAGATCCAAGGGAAAGATAATTCGAAACTGTAGCCTTTGTCTTTCAGCAGAACTATTGAATGGGTGTCCCAGGGAGGAAATGATAAAGGCAGGGAGCCACCACTGACAAGCCCATCCTTCCCTTACTACACCCTGTACCACAGAAGGCTCTCAACAACAAAAAATATCTGCCAGTGGTGGTGTGCACAGGAGAAGGTGGTCCAAAATGGCCCTAGATTGCACGAGGTATACAGTGGTGCCTCGCATTACGAGCGCCCCGTTTAACGACGAAATCGCTAGACAGGGAACTTTTTGCGATCGCAAAAGCAATTGCTTTACGATGGTTTCAATGGGGGAATTTCGCTTTGCGATGATTGGCTCCCTGCTTCGGGAACCGATTCTCGCAAAGTGATGATTTTCGCACAGCTGATCGGCAGTTTCAAAATGGCCACCGGGAAAATAAAATGGCTCCCCGCTGTTTTCTGGGACGGATTCCTCACTGCACAGGCAGCGAAAATGGCCGCGCTATGGAGGATCTTCGCGGGACGGTGAGTTTGAAGCCCCTAGGAACGCATTAATCGGGTTTTAATGTGTTTCTATGGGCTTTTTATTTTCGCATGACGTTTTCGTTCTACAGCGATTTCGCTGGAACGAATTAACGTCATCATGTGAGGCACCACTGTATAAGGCTTCAACCCAAGTGAAGAATCTGTGTCCTGCTTGATATTACGGGCTAAAACTCCCATCACCCCTGACCACTGGACATGCTGGTTATGGAACAGTAAGACAACATCTGGGAGTGCCGTTCCTCCTGCTTTAAGGAGAAGACTATTTTGTCCCTTGGTGACCTGTAGGCTTCATATCCTCTTTGTATCATCGACAAGCTCATCTTGTGCCTGGAAAAGTTGCCTTTTACTGTAGACTGCCACTGCCAGAACCCCCCTCCAGCAGGGCCATTCCAAACTCTTCCGTATCTTCATTGTATGGATTAACCAGAAAAATTAATAGTTTTACCGAACCTGTCCTTTCATCTCAATTTTTTTCTGGATGGTGCTAGAAGATGCACCGTCTTTCTCTCTTCTCTACACACACACACACAGAGAGATTTTGCCATTTGCAAATCTATACTGAATTGGGCCTTTGGGCCATCTAGCCTAGCCTTGCCAACTCTTAGCAACAGTGGCTCTCCCAGTTTACAGGCAAAATTCTTTCCTAGCCTTCTCTGGAGCCACTAGAAATTCCCTGCTGCTCTCTGAGCAAGATTGGATGAAACGGGGCTGTTCAAAAGACAATGGAGGTGCAGAGGTCAGCAGTCATCAAAAGAGGAACTCATTCGTTCATGGGTCAGCAAGAAGGACACCTTCGACTCAAGGCGGCAGAGTTTAAAAAATTTATCATTTTAGAACTCCTCAGCTGGCACGGCCATAGTGGCCGAGGGATTTTGGAAACTGCCAACCGAAAAATTAACAGTTCCAACCTCTGTAGATAGTGGGTGAGTTGAGGCCAAAGAGATGCATGATGGGGGATTATCTCTTGCCTGCTGCCCATCACGAAGGGCTCTCAAGCGGATTGCAGCCGGAACCTCCAGCAATGGAGGTCAATTCCCCTGAAACCAGCAATGAGTTTGAGATAGCATTGCCCCAGAAAATGCTGCTTCCATAGAACCATAGAATGGAGTTGTAAGAGATCTATAAGGCCATTGAGTCCAAACCCCCTGCTCAAGGCAGGAATCCAAATCAAAGCAGATCTGACAGAGGGTTGTCCAATTTTCTCCGGAAATGGCTCCAGCATTCGAGTGCTCACCACCTCCCGAACTCATTGGTTCCATTGTCAAACTGCTCTAACCATTAAGAAGTTTTCCCCCCTGATATTCAGCTTAAATCTTGCTTCCTATAGCTTGAGCCCATTATTATACCTCCTGCACTCCTTAAAAATGAGGTGGTGGTGATGGAAACTGGTATCATTAGACTCCATTTTGCATCTTTCCTAACCAGCATGGCTAAGTGTCTGGAATGATGAGAACCGTACTTAAACAACAGCAGGGCTGACCCTCCCATTTGCCAGAGTGAGGCAGTCAAGGATGCTGGGAGCCAACAGTGAGATGTTGGGGGAGAGTTTGGTGTAGGTTGTGCTGACGATCCTGTACTCTTAAGTTGGTTTGCTGCTTTTCAACATGGTGGAGGACTTGCTCCCTACCTCCAGAGCTGCAGAGAGATTCCCATGACCAGGGCAATTGGCTCTGGGTACCATTTTATTCTCTTCTCCAGGCATCAGAATGTATTAGCATACTGCTATGGGCTCAATGGGGACGTGGTGGCGCTGCGGGCTAAACCGCAGAAGCCTGTGCTGGAGGGTCAGAAGACCAAGCAGTCGTAAGATCGAATCCACGCGACGGAGTGAGCGCCTGTCGCTTGTCCCAGCTCCCGCCAACCTAGCGGTTCGAAAGCATGCAAATGCAAGTAGATAAATAGGGACCACTTTGGTGGGAAGGTAACAGCGTTCCGTGTCTAAGTTGCACTGGCCATGTGACCACGGAAGATTGTCTTCGGACAAAACGCTGGCTCTATGGTTTGGAAACGGGGATGAGCACTGCCCCCTAGAGTCGAACACGACTGGACAAAAATTGTCAAGGGGAACCTTTACCTTATGGGCTCAATATCCCTGATAGGGAAAACCTCACACTCATGATATGGATGACTGAAAATCTCAATAAGAAGGTCCCAGATAGTCTATGTTGTCATTAAGCAGGACACTGAGACAAAGATAGATCTGTGGAGGGGACATAATAGACCATGCTAAAAAGAAAAAAAGAAAAAGAAAACCTTCCAGGAAGAGGCCAAAAGCTAGATGCTTCTGGGAAACAATAAATAAATAAAAATCAATCGTGAATGCAGTTGCTCGTATCTGTTGGCAGAACGAGAAACTGTATTCAAAGATGTACTGCTCCTGTATGTGGAGGTTCTACTTAACTACCCTGTTGAACAGCCACTGATAAATCAATCTTCCATAGATATGTCTAATCCTCCCTGAAGGCCATCTTTAAGCAAACTGTCTTGCAACAGTGAAGTTCATAAATTTAATAAATGTATTTTCCTCTGATGGCAACCCCATTCCTTGTCTGATCCTTCTGCTCCCAAGTTCTACTCCTCAGAGGGGTTGATTGGTAGATGTACAGTACACAAAAATGCAAGTAAATCTCATATAGGGAAGGTGAGATTTGTGTCACCTCATCCTAGTGCCCCCCCCTCTGAGACAGGACAAAGAAAAAAGAACTGGTCTCCTGAGATGACCTTTTGCAGAATTTTCCCTCTCCCTCTCCCACAACAAATCCAGAGGCCTCGTAGGACTGAGAAAGAAGACTCGATGCCCTATTAGAGTCACTCTCTTTACCTTTCATTAAGCTCTCGTTCTTCTGCTTCAACTCCTGGATCTCGGAAGCCATGGTGGAGATCTGGAACGGAAAGAGTGGGAAACAGTTGACGGAGTGTCACTGAATGTGTGATTCTTGGTTCGTCCAAATGGGCTTGCCCCCATCATTTTTGCACCAAATGACTGCAAGCCAGGTATCTTTGTTTCGATGATTTCCACTTTGCTTTCTCAAATCAGTTCCTCAAACGATTTCCATCAAAGCAACAAACAAAATCCTGTATAAATGTTGTTCACAAAAATTAAACACAGCCAGAAGCATCAACCGTTAATAGAAAAATATCCAAATTAAGATAAGAGAACAAGATTTAAAAAAGAGAAGATAGAAAACAGTCTGGGACCTTGGTACCTGTCAGAGTGTCTCTCCCTAAGATGTACCACCCATACTGGCCACATTTCCCAGGCTTTCATGCTGTGGGTGACCATCAGAAGGGAAGCCACTGGTCTTTGACCAGGAGCAGGGCCTTCTCGGTAGTGGCCCCCTCTCTGTGGAATGCTCTGCCTGAGGCGGTGCGCCAGGCCTCTACCCTCCATGACGTTTAGAATGTATATAATAAAAACCTTACTGTTGAGAGAAGCATTTCACGGCATTCTTCCCTTGATTGATTGACTGACTGATCAATCAATTGATTGATTGATTATGTTTGTTGTTTTATCCGTGACAACTGTCCTGTGCTCTTTGTGTGTAGCTTTTTAATATAGTATTATTGTGTGGGTGGAGGGATGGCTGTTCTTGTGCTTGTGTTTAACCGTTTTCATTGAAAATTGCCCAGAGTAGTAGCATGCCACCTAAATGGTGCAGTATAGAAATGTGATAAATAAATGAAGTGGAGTTTGGAATAAAACCCATTTTTCAAACCAGTCTTAAAAAGACAACCATAAAAAAATTATGTCCAGCACATTTTGGCCAGTTTATTCTGTAGCTTTGTTCAGGAGTTCGTAAAAAGAAGAACGGGAAAATACGATAGTTATGATGAGACAATGAGCTGAGCATGTTTAATATCACATGTTGTTGTTGTTTAGTTGTTAAGTTGTGTTGGACTCTTCGTGACCCCATGGACCAGAGCACGGCAGGCCTTCCTAACTTTATTAAGTGGCAAGTGGTGGGATCTTGGGAGAAAAGTCCAATATTGATAGATGATGATGATGATGATGATGATGAGTAGTAGTAGTAGTAGTAGTAGTAGTAGTAGTAGTAGTAGTAGTAGTAGTAGTAGTAGTAGTAGTAGTAGTAGTAGTAGTAGTAGTAGTAGTAGTAGTAGTAGTAGTAGTAGTAGTAGTAGTAGTAGTAGTAGTAGTAGTAGTAGTAGTAGTAGTAGTAGTAGTAGTAGTAGTAGTAGTAGTAGTAGTAGTAGTAGTAGTCAAAGCAGTCTTAAAAAGACAACCATAAAAAATAATAATGTCCAGCACATTTTGGCCAGTTTATTCTGTAGCTTTGTTCAGGAGTTCGTAAAAAGAAGAACGGGAAAATACGATAGTTATGATGAGACAATGAGCTGAGCACGTTTAATATCACACATTGTTGTTGTTGTTTAGTTGTTAAGTTGTGTTGGACTCTTCGTGACCCCATGGACCAGAGCACGGCAGGCCTTCCTAACTTCAGTAAGTGGCAAGTGGTGAGATCTTGAGTGGCCTTTTAGGCCAGATGGGCGGGGTATAAATCAATCAATCAATCAATCAATCAATCAATCTTGGGAGAAAAGTCCAATATTGATAGATTATTCTCATATTATGGCTGATTTTTCCTCCCTTTTTTCTTTTGGTCTGAAAATGATCAATATTTTCAGAATTATAATTACTCTTGTTGAGACAGAATAACCTGAAGGACTTTCATGCATGTACATTATAAGAGCTCTATTGATTGATTGATTTGATTTGATTTGATTTGTACCCACCCATCTGGCTTTTCTTCTAGAAAAGAGGAGCAAACTCAACATCCTCATGCAGACTTTCAGGAGCCACGGTCACCATTTCAGTTGCAGCAGAATTTTGTGGTGCCGTAATTACTCTTCTTGAGACAGAATAACCTGGAGGACTTTCATGCATGTACATTATCAGAGCTCTAGAAAAGAGGAGCAAACTCAGTGTCCTCATGCAGACTTTCAGGAGCCATAGCCATTTCAGTTGCAGCAGAATTTTGTGGTGGTGTTTCATAAAACGATCCATGACAAACTTACCTAATCTTTTATCTCTGATATTAACAGAATGCTCACCTGTATCCAGGGCTCTAGCTGGGTTTCCTGTACAAAACCTATTGAAGGGGCATCTATGGCCAATATCTCATAACAATGTGGCAGGGGATTAAAAACCACAACAGTGTGCTGTTTCTGATTGTTGTGCGGTCTATAAACCACAACAAGGAATAAAAGGTAGACGTATTACTCTAGTAAAGCATTTTATGGAACATCTGCCATTCTTCAAATGATTTACAGATTTGGCCAATGACATGTGTCATGGGACCTGTCAGACAATGAGGAATATGTATGTGATTTAAATGTTTTCATCTCATTATCTCATGACACTGCATTGTCCCTTTCTTCTTTTTAATAGAAGAAATGTATAGTGGCTGAAATGCATTGTGTAACTTGAAGGAAATGAGTCAAGTTCTCTTTTTTCCCAACATTCTAAGACTGTGCTCTGCTTCTGATTGAGTCCCGTGGATCTTCTCCAGGAGGAAAGCCTATCAGATTTCCTGGAGAGAGAATTTCACACATGTAGGGCCTCCAATGAAGGCAGTATGCACTTGGGGCACACCAGGTGGATCTCAGCTACTGAGGGGTCTCACTGAATACTCTATGATACAGGATTAAGATGCCCAGCAACTAAAGGCAATGAAGACTGGTGACTCCAGTTTCAGAGGTGCTATGGATCTCATCCGGGTTTTAGTTTGCACTTTGCAGGAGCTATCAAAGGTGCTGAATCTTAGCTCCAAAATAGGTTCTGCATCTTGGATAATTCTTATCAAGTGCAAACTAAAACCTGGACTGGATTCACAGCATCCCTGAATCTGAATTCATCCGCTTGCATTGATCATAGATGCTTTGCTTACTGTTTGTGTTTTCTCCTTCAACTGCTCCTGGAGACTCTGTACTTCTCCTTTGCTGTAGTGAACGTTCAGGGATGCTGGCTGACCATCAGGAAAACTGATTGGTTCAGTTGTAGTCTGTAGGAGACACAATAAAGAGATCCAGCAAATTGAAGGTGATTATTCATCTTAGGTCAGCCTTCCTGAATTGGTCTCCTCCAGATGATTGTACCTTGAGTGGCTTATCTGGTCCTGCATCCATCAGAACCTGGATATGTTCCTTTTATGACTACAATTCCCAGAATGCCTCAACTACCATGGAGATTCAGGATGCTGTAGTCCAAAAAACTAACTTTCCTGTTCAATGAAATATCCCAGTGGAAAGGCCGTACAGATAATGTGAGGGCAATAATAGCTCGTAGCAGTCTAATGTTTTTGAAGGTGCTTTTGAATAATGGAAGTTGTTCTTTCAAGATTGTAATTATGGTGGTAAACTAACTATTTTTGCATAAGGTGACCATTTGTACATCATCAAACACAGGCCTCAACCCGCCCAACCCCCAAAAGAGGGCAAAAAGGCTACTTTTGTATGCAACTGCATAGGTTAACTTTGCACAGATACAAAATAAAAAAAAATGATTTTTGCAGTTTGTGCAGAATTGTACTGCACTTCACTTACAGTATATGGAAAAGACAGTGACCATGATGTGCCTTGTTACCTGCTGAGTCTGCTGCCCAGGTGCTTTGAAATGTGGACAAGCAACGTCATGTTTCCTCATCTCCCTCCTCCAGTGTATTGGTTTTTAAATCAGGCTGGACAATTCCCCAAATCCAAGACAACTTCAAAAAAAATTCATTCTCTGGTAGCTCCTTAAATAGGGGGTCTGTTCTCCCCAAAAGAGGCCATGTGGCCACCTCAGGGGGTATGAGGATTCGGAAGCGTAATTGGTTACTTTAAAGACTAAGTTTCCAAGCTCTGATCACCAGCCACTGATTTACTACTAGAAATGTTCGGGGACTCAGGTTCCCCACCTCAGGCCATAGCGCTAGCTAACCGCAGCGTTGCCACTGGCTCTTTAACCAGAAGAGACCCAACTGATGACGGTTCTGGGACGGAAGAAGGAGATTGCTCTCACCGGCATTCCTGGTGATGTCTGAGGAGCCACAGAACTCTGTTCCTGGGGTCCACGCGGATGCTTCTTGGATCCCGTCAGCTGCAGGTTCTGCTCCCTCTGTCTGAAAAGCCCTTTCAGCTTTGAGGGCAGAGAGGAAAAGAGATGCTGAGAACAGTCCAGTCAGTGGAGGCTGCATCTGGTTTTCTTCAAGAGAGGCTGTTACCTGTCCCTTACGGTTTTTATGCCAAGAGTCAGCCATCACTCTGGGGATCCTAGGCACTTTTAACCCTTTTATGGGGCTGTTTTGAGTCCCCCCCACACACACACCCTGGATTGATGGGATTTCAAATCTGAAATTTTATTTTCTAGCCTACCACCACCTCCTCTCGGTGTGTGTATCATATTTTCTTTTCACTGTGTAAGAAACGGCAGTTGGGGAATCCGGGTGACAGATTAACGTTATTGTGCACGATGACTAGTATCCCAAAATAAACCCCAGATACATAAAGTGTGTTATTCCACAGAATGACTTTACTATCACCGTAAAAATGAGCCTTTCTCCAGCCTTCTCTACCCTGACGCTTTCCACATGTAACTTCTCCTCTCATCAGTCTTAGCCAGAATAGCCAACATTCAGGTATTTTGGAGACCGAGTCCACAACCGCAGCTGAGAGAGATTAGTGTGGCAGATATTTCTGCGCCTTCATAGCTAAAATTAATTGTTTAATGTATATGTTTTACACACACATCTAAACACACTTACATGTATGTGCGTGTGCTAAGAATTATTCTCTCACTGTCTTATTTATTTTTATTTATTTACAAGATTTTTTAGCTGTGCCATTACCAGTCGTCTCTGAGCTGTGTGTGTGTGTGTGTGTGTGTCTGTGTGTGTGTGTGTGTCTTACAAGCAGCCAAAATCCAGTGCTATATTTTATAAGGATGGGATCTGAGTATCAGAACCCACTGTCCAGTTGGACTTCAATTGCACTAGTGACTCAACTCGGGGTGTGTGTGTGTGTGTGTGAGTGTGTGTGTGTGTGTGTGAGTGTGTGTGTGTGTGTGTGAGTGTGTGTGTGTGTGTGTGAGTGTGTGTGTGTGTGTGTGTTTCAATGACTCAGACTCAATTTGCAACTCAGAACCCACCCCCTCCCCTTTTTCCCCCTGTGGGGGAAAATGCTTGTTTTCAATACATAGCCTCGGACTCAGGACTTGGTACGAAAGATTCAAACTCAGGCTTTGGACTTGGGCCCAGAGACTTGCCAACGACCTTGATATTTTCGTATCGAACACACCCTTCTCCTTGCAACTCTCCATGGTGACAAACTTGCCACGACAAGATTCCTGGCCCACTAGTTTTAAGGTTGAATTGGGAAGTGTTGGTGCAGGGGGGCACACTGGCAGAAACAGCCGGTCCAGGCTCATGCGCCCCATCCACGACAAACACAGCCGAGGACAGGGAGCGATGTGGCAATGCCCTCAGTTCCTCCTCTCTCTCACCACCTTCTCCACAGTCATGCTGTTTTAATCGGAATTAGACGGAGCAGATTCTTTCAGTGGTGCCAGAGACGGGACAGGTTTAACTTGCTTTTCACATTTCTAGTGCCTGTGCAGTGTCATGGCAACCGGCCTCGTATTTATTCCAAGAGACTGTGATTGCAGCCGGCTTAAATAGCACCAGAGGAAGGGGAGGGGAGCAGCATTTCACACCAAACGGAGTAGCAGGATTCTCCACAGCAAAACCCCTCTGAAAAGAGGGCAGGAAAACTGCATTTACAGAAACACTGTAAATAAATGGATAATGTAAGTCTAACTCTCATCTTCCTGTTAGTACAACAAAGGGAGCAGTTACAGACGTAAAAAGACATGAAATATGACCATTTCAGTAGCAGCAGGGTAGAAACCGGTAATTAAAGTGCTTCCCCAATTAAGGGGCCATTTGGGAACTAAAATAAAGGCTGCAGTAAGGTAAAGAAGGAAAATGCCCAGCCATTGCTGATTATAGTGGTTGTTTGCAAAGGGGAGCCAGAAGGAAAATTAAAGAGCCATTGTTGCTGTTGCTATGTGCTCTCAAGTCAGCTGTGACTTATGGCAAGCCTATGAATGAGCGACCTCTAAAATGTTCTGTCGTTAACAGCCTTGCTCAACTCTTGTAGACTCAAGCTTGTGGCTTCCTATAGGGAATCAATCCATCTCATATTTGGTCTTCCTCTTTTCCTGCTGTCTTTAGCAGAAAGACATTAAGTCTTCTCAATGCTGACATGAAATTCTATTTCAAAATACTGAAGTACTGGACAACACCAGCAATTATTATGTTAGACTGCACAGGGAAGCCACTGAAATCCATAAACATCAACAGAACTTCAACAAAAAAGAAGAAGGCCTAAAACTAAACACGGCCTGGCTCCCAATACTGAAAAATACCGCCTGTAAAAGGTCAACAAACTCTACCCAGCCACAAGTACCAGGGATCATTGCACAAAAAAGACCAGCTAACGATACCCATCAATCACAGTGACAAATAATTCCCCCTCCCCTTTATCACAACAAAAACACACTGATCGCCCTAGCTCCTGAGAAGGACAGAAGCTGTTCCCACAGCTATAAATACTCAACAAACAGCAACAGAGCATGGACAGAGTTCCTACTCCAGTCCTCTGTAGATGCCAGCCACAGAAAATGGCAAAATGGCAGGAAGAACAACCTTCAGAACATGCCCAAAGAGCCCGAAAAACCCACAACAACCATGAACTCTGAATCTTTGACTCCACAGCCAGATACCTAACTCACTGAGCTGCCCAGCCAGCCAAAAGCACTTATCCTTGACATTCGGTAACCACCACACCAAATCTGCATTGGACAGGCTGCCGTGTCAGGCAGCCAATTAATAACAATTATGTGCTGTCAAGTCAATTCTGACCTACAGTAAACCTTTTCAGGGTTTTCCAGGTAAGAGAAAACACAGAGGTGGTTTGCCCTGCCCTTCTTTTGGGGACACCCTGGGACAGAGAAGCTGGCCCAAGGCCACCCAGGCTGGCTTTTCTCCCAGGAGGCACACAGCGGGGGAATCGAACTCCCAACCTCTCGGCTGCGCAGCCAGATAACTAAACCACTGAGCTAGTCAGCCAGCTCAAGGCGGCCAATTACATGTTCCCCTCCCCCTCAAAAAAAAAAAAGAGGGCAATAGAAGATACAGATTTTCATGAAATGTGCATACCCTGCGCATTTTCATGAAATGTGCATACCTGCAGCAGTGCATCTGAAAAAGATTATTATCACTTGGAAATACATTGGAGGAAAGGGACCTTGTGATCAAGACTGCCTCCTGCTCATCTTATTGGCTGTGTCCAGACTGCTGATGAGAAGCTTCCAAGCTCCCTGTTTTCCCTTTTTAAGGATTTTCTTAGATCAGATTTCAGCTGGGTAACCCTTGCAAACAAAGGACCCTTCTTTGAAAGATAAGACACAGGGACATTCTGCTGGCACTAAATTGTACTTAATTTCCTTTCCTCCTTCCCCCTCCCCTCCATGTGCCCAAACCTGTTCTGTGTGGGAGGACCAAAAGAGAAATAATAGCTTCAAATTAAACAGTGAGGGTAGGAACAACTCTGTTGTTGTTGTTGTTGTTGTTATTGTTATGTGCTGTTAAGTCGCCCCAACTGATGGTGACCCTATGAACTGAGTGATCAATGGGAACTCCTCGTCTTACAAGCAGCATTTCAGAGGAGGACAGAAATGTCTCCTGCAAATTTTCTCATCATCATTATTCCCAGGATGTCTGGAAGGGGGTAAGCACGGACTACAGCTGGAAACAAACACACCACTTTGGGACACAGCAACCATATGATGCTATGACTTTTTCCAAAAGAAGGGAGTCATAACTTTTCCCCCATGTCATGAGCAACACTGACTCACGATTTTTTTTCTCATTACGAGGGTGGGGTTTGGATTGCATTTTCTTGGGGCATTTTGAAAGTATCCTGTTGGAGTTTTCAAAACCTCGCATTCTGCCTGTGGTTTGAATGACTGCGAGGGGCCTTGCTAGGCTAGGATGACTGTCAATCTATCTGGTACTAACCAATCATTCCTTCCCTCCTCTGAATTTAAAGAGAGCCCTCCCTCTCTGCTGAGTGTTCTTTTCCCATTCTTTAATCTGTTGGAAGCAGTCAGAGTAGTTTGTTAGTTCTCTGTTGATCTGTTCACAACTGTGAGTAATGAAACATTTTAATTCTTTTTCTTACAAATATCTACCTACGTGCCCGTTAATGAGAAAGCAGTGGACTGTATGAGGAACTTGAAAGTATTTTTCTCTGTGTATCTCTGCACTTCTGCATAGCAAAAAAAGAATTTTAATCAGAAGGTCAAAACTCTGCCACAGATCCCACCTCCAAAATGTTCTTACTTTTTAAGACAGCATCTTTTCCATCAAAGAAAGACATAAAAATTAACACACTGCAGACGTAACACAGAGATATACATAAATGCACAGTGCTCAAGAGGGGGGGGAAGAGGAAGAGAGCATGTGTGTATATAATGCGAACAAGTTGCTTGGGGTGTGTGTGTGGAATGGAGGTCTTCTGTTACGAGTTGTGTGTGCAAAATTCTTCTTTAAATCGTAATTTCCCCATCTCTTATATACAGAGGAGATAAATGTGCTGATGATTAGTCTGGTTTCCGGCTCAGATATGTTTTGAAGTTACCTTTACTGCAGTTCAATAACTCTCTCTCAATAACAACACACACACACATGGAGAGTGCGATTTGAAACCAGCTTATCACAGATGTTTGAGGACGGGGTGGGGTGTGGGCTCCCACCCCTCAGCCCATCTCCAGGCATCATGTGAACCTCTGACTCATGACATTTCCTTCCCCCCCACGGCCAACCCACTCTCCTCCAAGGGACTCAAGGGCTCCGATGAGTCAGAGGGACACAGACAAAGAGGGATGTGTGTGTAAGTGTGTATGTATGTGTGTGTAGGGGGTGGCGGTGGCAGTGACCCTCCGCCTCCTTACCTGCTCAGTCACCAGTTGGTGCTGCAGTTTCAGGCTCTCCTGATCTCGCTGGGGGCTTTGGGGGCTTTTTGCATCCCAGTCTCCATGTCGACCCTGAGGGAGGAAAGAGGGGGAGGCAGAACTGGAAGACGTGCACTATTTCAGTTTCACGGCTCCTTGCTTCCATGGGGCAGGAGGTGGACACAAGCCTCGGGGCTTTCCGTGAACTAGCAGTGCACCTTCAGTCATGGGCGAGACTGTCGGGAGGCATCCACAAAGTCACCCTCTCTGTCCACCCCCTTACATGGCTGACAGGACATCAGCATCTCCCAGCCAGAGCAGGCATGCCGTGGCTTAATGCAGTGGGAAATGCTTCTGCATTTCAGAGAGCAACATTTTCCAGTTTCCCTACTCTTCAAAATCAGCGGATTAGAGCTAGGATCTGATTTTCATCGATGGAGGGGCATCTCTCACAAGAGGAACGTCAGCTGGGTTTTGAGAGAAACCTCCCCCTGGCATGTCCCCCAGTTCATCCCATTCAGCAAGATGCTCTGGAAGAAAGGTGTTGCATTTTTAGTGTGTGCCAAAGGCTTCCCCTGGGGAGGAAAGGGGGCAGGAAAGTGCATTTCCACCAGTTTAATCTCGTGCCTCAATCTGGATGCAACCCCACTGTGGAAAGAATTCCTGTTAATCCGAGATCTACCCAGTGATTTTGAGTCTCTCTCTCTTGGTTCAAAGGATTTTTGTTTGTTTTGTTTACCTGTTCCAGAGAGTGGCAATCCATGTGCCTTCCATGTGTTTCAGATGACCATGCCCATAAGCCCTAGCTTTACGGTCAGTGATTTTATGGGCCCTATAGCCCAAAACAGCTCTAAGATGCCTGATCTAATGCTTCAAAAAGCATAAGAACAACTCGGACTGAAAGCCTATCTCAAGAGCAGGCAGCTTGGGCCCTCCCTCAGCATTGGCTATGCTGGTGAAAGCAATGGGAAACATAGGGCCAAATGAAAGCATCTGGAGGGCCGCACTTGCTCCCCTTAGTCTGCCTATTCTGGCATCCTGCTGCTCACAAAAAACCTTCCAGCATGCCCTGACAACACATGTACTTAATTCCTGGCGAATAGAAACCAGTTCTTTTAAGGTACACTGCTCCTAAACATGGAGGTTCCACGAAACCACTGAGATAGCCCCTATGTCCAATCCTGGCAGACCAGAGAAAAGGTCTGTTCAGCATTCTGCCACCTTCAACAAGCTGTTAGCTTCCCTCTTGTTACCTTTAGCTCTAACGCAGACATTTTATTCTCCTTCTGAGTTCTGTCCACATCTTTGGCTTGTCTCAGGTCCCTCAAAGCCTGTTCCCTGGAGACAAAAGAGTTTTCTTGAATGGAGGCTGTCGGCTTTTCCCTCTTCCCTAATCCAACATAAAAATAATTTTCAGAATCAGACTTTACTGCCCCATCCTGCTCCCAGTAAGCTTAAAGGATGCCTCAGGTGATACCTGACACCACCAGGTTCAGCTGATGAGCTTTTCCCTCCCATTTGAAGACACGAAGAGAAGATGACTTCATGATCCATTTTTTATGGCCCTGGATTCTGTCCTTCTCTCAGCCCATTTTTTTACAATATCTCACTTGGGGAAAAGAGCTAAAGACCCCAGGACCTTGTACATATTTGGATGAGCTTTTTCTTGGCCTGATAAGAGATAATTTTCAAAATAAAGATGGGAGGGCTGTTTTTTTAAGGTTTCCCATGGAGAATAAAAATAACAACCCTGTTTTAATTAGAAATTAGGGGGTGTGGTGTTGACACAGCATCCTGTGGCATCTTCTCTCTGTTATGGGGCGTGCACCTTTCCTGAAATACGAGTTGGATTAGGGATCTGCTTTCCCTGGTTAGAAAAGCTCTGCTTGCAGATGTTAGGTTATCTGAAAATGACAACAAGAATAATGGTGCAGTTATTGTTTTGGAGTTCAGCTCCCATTATCCCTAGATAGGAAGGCAGCGGTCAGGAATTCTGGAAGCTGTAGTCCAAAAAGCAGCATCAAGGCTCCACAAGACGATGCTTTCAAGCCTGGTTTCCTGCAAATGGAGGTACCGTCCCTCCAGATCGGTCCCAAGTTGCTCCTCATTTTCCTTACTTTTCCTCTAGCTGCTTTTCCAGAGAAGCGACCAGCTGCTCCTTCTCGGAGATGCATTCCGCACACTGGGGAAAGAAAAATGAGAAGAGCAGGTCATTGGCAATGGGAGGAAATCCATAGCCGGGATCATTTCAGCAAAACTCAGTGGGTTGGAGTAGCAAGATGGCACAGGTAAACTGCTTCAAAGTACTTTATAGCTAAAAAAAAAACAACTCTAGGAGAGTTGCCAGAAGTTGGAATCAATTTGAATACATGTAGTTACAGTGGTGCCTCGCATAGCGACGTTAATCCGTGCAGCAAAAATAGCTGCTAAGCGATTTTGTCGCTATGCGATTTTAAAAAGCCCATAGAAGCACATTAAAACCTGTTTAATGTGTTCCTATGGGCAAAAAACTGACCTTACAGCGAAGATCCTCCATACGGCGGCCATTTCCGCTGCCTCTAAAGTGAGAAATCCACACAAAAACACAGCGGGTGGCCATTTTCTTACCCGGCGGCCATTTTGGAACCACTGATCAGCTGTTTAAAAATCATCGCTTTGCGATGATCGGTAAGCGAAACAGGGAACCGATCATCGCAAAGCGAAAAAAATCCATAGGAAACATCGCAATGCGATTGCTTTTGCGATCGCAAAAAGTTAATCGCTATGCGGTTTCATCGCTAAACAGAGCGCCCGTTAAGCGAGTTACCACTGTATTGTTATTTATTGCCAAACCTTGTTTATCTTTGGCCACAAATTAGAAAAGTTCCATTTTAGGACTACAACTTCCATAATTTCCTAGTCAGGCTGCATGACTCTCTCCTTTGCCAAATCACTCTCCATCTCCCAGTCTGCTGTCTGTAGCAACTTGCCCACGTGTTGCTGCCTTATTGGGTTGCCACAGTGTGAGATATTTTTTTAAGAACTTCATAGAGACCATATAGTGCCTCTTTTCTGTGCATGCAATGCTCAGTCTGGAAGATTCTTGGAACTGTAGTGCAAAACCAGAACTTTTCCAACCTCTGGCTTCTGGCTGAAGAACTTCATAGAGGCCATATAGTGCCTCTCTTCTGTGCATGCAATGCTCAGTCTGGAGGATTCTGGGAACTGTAGTGCAAAACTAGAACTTTTCCAACCTCTGGCTTCTGGCTGATCGCTTCTACCCATGCTTGGCTGCTAACCACGGTGAGCAAAAATGCCAGTGAATGTCTAAACAGCAGCGGTAGTTTCCTCCCTCTAATGAAATGTGCTAACAAGATAGGTGGCCTTCTTGTAGTGGGGGTGCAAAGGAGCACATCCCATCCTTCACCCCAACTTCTTCACATGGGCTGCTTGGCCCTTCCATTCCCCTGCTGAGCAAGAAGGCCTCAAGCAAGCGTCCTGCTCATACTGTACTTGGCGTCTGGTGGATTCCAGCTCCTTCCGCTGTTCTTCTATTTCCACGTTGCGCGTCTTCAGCACGTCCTGGGCTTTCTGCAGCTCTTCTCGGATATGTGCCAGCTCCGGATTTGCCTCCTCCTGGGAATCCTTCAGGATTGCAAGGCCAAGAGCCAGTGATGATCAAGGCTGGATGTCCAGCAGTCTTCCCCAACCCAAAGTGCTGGACTATAACTCCCATCATCCCCTAGCCATTAGCTCCTATGGGCAGCCTTTCTTACGGCAGGTGTCCATTTGTGGCATGAACTGAACCTCACAGAGAATCAGCACAGGGGGGAAAGGAAAACACAGGGAGTGGCCTTCTAGCGTTATACAGTGGTGCCTTGCTTAACAACGTTTACAGAGAATCAGCACGGGAGAAAGGAAAACACAGGGAGTGGCCTTATAGCGTTATACAGTGGTGCCTTGCTTGACAACGTTGATCCATTCCAGCGAAATCGCTGTAGAGTGAAAACGTAAAGTGAAATAAAAAAGCCCATTGAAATGCACTGAGACCCGTTCAATGCGTTCCAATGGGCTGAAAACTCACTGTCCAGCGAAGATCCTCCATAGGGGCAGCCATTTTTTGTGCCTGTGCAGTGAGGAATCCCTCCCTAAGCACAGCGAGGGGCCATTTTCTTCAGCCGACAGCCATTTTGAAACCTGACGATCAGCTGTTTTTGATCATCGTAAAGCGAAAACCGGTTCCCGAAGCAGGGAACCAATCATCGCAAAGTGGAAAAACCCCATTCAAACCATTCAAACCTCACCGTCAAGCGAATTCATTGTTAAACGGGGTAATCGTAAAGCGGGGCACGACTGTATACTCATACCATTGGTTGACCAAGCTCAGGTGAGCCTACTTTGTCTGGGACCACCTACTACAAGTCCCAGACATTCTGCAGCCCTTCCAGACACTGCAAGGGCTCTGCTATGGTCCCATGGAGGAGGAGGGGGAGGGGGAGAAAGAAGTATGGGTCAAAATCCAAAACAGAGGTGGAACCCAATCTAGCCCTTTGGAGTTTGTGGGACAGCTTTGCACGTTTCCCCATGTCTGTGTCATCGTTTCTCACCTCTTGTACAGGGTCTTCCTATCCTCCCATAAAGCTTAGATGCCTCTCCCATGACAGGAAGAGTTCAATTAGAAATATGATAGGGTGTAGCTTTAGGTCACAGGTGGGCAACCTGTAAAGGCCACACCTGGTACCCATCCTTCAGCTTTGGAGGGCTGCCTCTGCTCCCACAGCCCCTATCCCACCCACCCCCAAACAATTGTTTTTCTTACAGGGTTTAAAGCTTTAAAAAAAACACCTCCTTGTGCCTTCTGGTGGCCTCCTTGCTTTAAAAAAAATTAAAACATTTTAGGGGGATACGATGGTCTCAGAGTAACGGGGAGCCCTCAGAACATGGTGATTTTGGGCCCACCCGTGTTTCCTGTAGAGGGCAGAGGGAAACTTTTCCATCATTTGGGGGGGGTATCAGTCTGCTGGGAGGCCCCCAGTGTGCCAGGGGCCACATATGGCCCTCTTCACATTTAAACGAATGTATGCAAGTACTGGGGTGTGTGTATGTCTTATTTATTTATTTATTTATCTAAATAAATATTTTAAAAATTAGTCTTTTACTTTGAGCTCCATCTGTCACTGGAATGCAGCCCTCAGGCTGAGCTGGGTTGCTCCCCTTCATCTCGCGATTGCTTCCCATGACAGATGGAAAGTGTTCCTAATCAGCCTCACCCCGGGGCGCAGAGGCACGCAGGCATGGCAAATATCCCCCCACAACACATCATTCCCACCTCAAACCAGACCTCGTTTGGAGGAACCGGCTTGCTTGGGCTCCTGGATTGCAGCAGTTGGACTTGGTCATGTAAAGCCCACGTACGGTTTCTTTCCAGTTCCAATTCCTGTTTACAAGCATCCAGCTGGATCTGGAGAAGCGAAGGGGCTTCCACCTGTCAGGGAGAAAGAACAGAGGTGAAGGATTGATTCCAGAGAAATAAACTGGAAAAGTAATTAGTTATACTTCTTAACCTCAAGTAATTAGTTACTATTATCGTTATATATTTTTTTAAAAAACCAAAATCTCTTTACCTAAGGTTGGGGAAAATGTTTGGATTTCAATTCCCACCCATCCCAGGTTATTCAGGGATTTGTAATCCAAAAAATACCGTAATTTCCCCCAGTCTCTATAGTATGAAACACACTCAAGCAGTGGGGCTAAAGGGTACTTGTAACTGTAACCATAATTAGAACAACAGCTGCCCCACAGAAGCAGTGGTGTCATCTCTTGTTACATTAAAAATGCATATAGCTTAGGTAAAGGTTTCCCTTGACATTTAGTCCAGTTGTGTCCGACTCTAGGGGGTGTTGCTCATACCCGCTTCCAAGCTGTAGAGCCAGCGTTTGCCTGAAGACAGTTTCCGTGGACACATGGCCAGCGCAACTAGATACGTGACCTTTCCACTGAGGTGGTACCTATTTATTTACTCAGATTTTTACATGCTTTCGAACTGCTAGGTTGACAGGAGCTGGGACAGGCGACGGGACCTCATTCCGTCGTGTGGATTCGATCTTACGACGGCTGGTCTTCTGACCTTACAGCACAGAGGCTTCTGTGGTTTAACCCGCAGCACCACAGTATCCCTCTTAGTTATGTTAATTAGTTATAGCTTAGTTATGCCTTAATTACTACAAAGAAAGGAATTAATCTTAAGTGACTTATCGTGTGAGCCCAGTTACTTTCCATACAGGGGAAATCGATTGATCCATGGGCATGCATACAAATATAAAGGCACATAGACATAAAATTTGTCCACCCGCAGATCATCCAAAACCACGGGGACTTTGTTGAGTGAAAGAAGGGAACCTCTCCCCCAGAAACCAGACATAAAGCATTCTTTTTGAATTCCTGTCATGGAGGTCTAGAGAAGAGGACGTTCCACACTCGTGCCATCTCAGCACACCTGGGTGCTGAGAAAGGTACACAAGAAGCCGGGAAGGGAGAAAAGAGGGCAGCCTGAGAGACAGAGAGGTTTCCCAGCTTACCTTGGGGGAGAAGGTCTGGCTTTGCCTGTGTGTTTCTGCCGACTGTTCTTCTTTGCTCTTCAAGGCTGCAGTCGCTTGTTCCCACCTGTCCCTCCAGGATTTGGAGATCTGCTGTTGCTCGGCCAACTGGTTCTCCATTTCCTCCTGCTTGCGGTGCAAAGCCTCCTCCAATTCAAGGCAACGAGCCTGCAGGAGGCTTTTCTCCTTTTCCAGCAAGGCCTGAGATTCCCTGGAGGGTCTTGGATTGCGGGGTGTTGGGGGAGAGAAGGATGTCACTAGAGAAGTGCTACAAATCTCATCACCCTATGCACCAAAGAATTATAATTTTTTTCCTTTTTGGAGGAGAGAAGGTAACATAGTTTCTGTTGGTCCTGCGAGGAGTTTTTGCATTCGTGAGAACAATCTGGGCAGAAATGCAGATCAAGAAAACCAAAAATAACTGCTGCTTTGTTTCACGAGTTTTCAAGAATTAGAAGCATAGGATGGGTTGTTTGCAGCTTTCTTAAGAATTAGAAGCATGGAATGGGTTGTTTGCAGGTTTTCTGAACAACCATCCAGTCCTTTTATGCTTGCTTTCTGTGTGTACAGTACTTTCTTTTTCAAAGCAAAAAGGTGCTAATAGTACACAGAAACATTTTGCCACATTGTGGGGAGCTGGGTGTGAAAGGAGGAACTCCTTGTCTTGCTCTTGCCTTGGATTAAAGGCTCAGAAGAATCTAGTGGAGCTCCGAAACCCCTTGTCAAAGAGTCTTGTTGGGTCCCTAAACACTGGTAAGATATCTCTGTACAAAATTAGTGTCATTTCCCAGAGACTTGGAGTTCGATTCCCCGCTGTGCCTCCTTGACAGGCACCGGATTCAATGATCTATTCTATAGGGTTCCTTTCAGCTCTGCAATTCTAAGATGATGGTGATGATTACAGCTCTCACACACAGCAAGTACAGAAGTACTGGATGATTGCTGAAAAAGATGAACCCCACTCCCCAGCATCCAGTGCTTCAAAGCTGGTGAGAACAAGGAATTTAGCCAGTATGTGATACATCTTCCTACACATAAGGACCTTACTAGGGCTGACTGCTATTAGGTGCAGCGATGTAACCATCTCAGATGGCAAATGAGTGAGGAGCAGCGTTGGCCACCTCTGAACAGTCCCCCTAAGCTGGCTACTTCCTTCTGTGGGAGGACAGAGCTGCCAATGCCAGGTGACTCATTCTAGCTGGCTGCCCTCTGGGGCAGAGGAAGGCACACGCTCGCTCGTCAGCAACGATAAAGTCACGGGGTGTCAGCCTGGTAGCTGTTTGTACTGCGATGGAGGAGGAGCCAGCTTCAGTCAGCAAAATGGGTCAGCCCTGTGAGGTCATCAGGGCGATTTCCCTTGCCTAAAAATGTCTCATAACATTTTCTTAGCAAGTACCTGTGATGCCCACAGCCGTCTTGAAGAGGAACATCCCCTGTCTGATTTTGTGGGGCACTCTTTTCTTTCTCCTGCAGTAACTGGGTCTGGTCATTCTCTAGAGCCTGGATGTGGCTTTCTAGGATTTCCTTCTCCGCTTCTAAGTGGTGAACCTTTTCGAGCAATTCTTCCAGTCTTTGACGGCTCTCTGTCACTTCAGAAGAAAGCTCCTCCTTTACCTGTAAGGGGGGGGGGGTAGCAAAGTTGTACAGTGGTGCCTCGCTAGACAGGTACCCCACATGACAGTTTTTTCGCTAGACATTGGCTTTTTGCGATCACTATAGCGATTCGCAAAACAGTGATTTCTATGGGGGAATTTCACTAGACAATGTTTGGTGCCTGCTTCGCAAACCGATTTTCGCTAGACTAGATTTTGACAGCTCCCTCCGTGCTCACAAACAGGTATTTTCAGGACCTAAGCTTTGCACGACAGCTATTTAAACAGCTGATTGGCTGTTTGCAAAGTGGCTTTCCTATGGCCGATCTTCACAAGACAACAACGATTCTTTCCCATTGAAACGCATTAAACAGGTTTCAATGCATTCCATTGTCTAGCTTTTCGCTAGACAATGATTTTGCTAAACAGCGATTTCAGTGGAACGGATTTTCATCATCTCGCGAGGCACCACTGTACTTCATTTGCTAGGATGAGTGTACTTTTCAGGTCAGTTCACATGGCTGTAGTAACCTACCTTTCTCTGTGCAGAATTATTGACCTTGGGAATAGTTCTGCACAGACCCAGATCAAGAGCTCAGAAAAAGCTACTTTCCAAACTACAGTTTTTTGAAATCTCCCACAGGTACTTGGAGGTAGTAGGAATTGGGATCTAAAAGTAATCTTTCCAAGTTCTGGACACATTACAACCAACCATGCAGGGAAAATGGCAACCAAAATGAATTAATTGGACCAATGTCTGTAATGGGGAAGGTTATAACATTTGGAGCTTTTCTGCTTAGGAGAAACACAGGTGGGACTGTTTTGGCTACAATAAGGATCTCAACTGTACAAATCTACTACTGGAGACCAAGGCCAAGATTGTCCACACTACTGTACTGTATTCTCAGTTATTATGGATGGGAAAGCTGGACAATGAAGAAAATTGATAGGAAAAAATGGTTTCGTTCAACATATGGTGCTGGAGGATAACTTCATGGATACTCTCAATGGACAGGAAAACAAACCAGTGGGTCCTTGATCCAATCAAGTCAGAACACCCTTTGGAGGCAAAAAAAAAATGATGTACTGAGGTTTTGCTACTTTGGGCACATCATGAGAAGACAGGATTCTCTAGAAAAGACAATAAGGCTGGGAAAGGTGGAAGGCAGCAGGAAAAGAGGAGGACCCAATGTGAGAAGGACTGACTCAATAAAAGAAGTGATAGGCTTGAATCTGCAAGAGCTGAGCAAAGCTGCTGAGGACAGGACATTTTTGGAGTTTGTTCATTCATAACATCGCCATAAGTTGGAGGCAACTTGATGGTCCATATCAACAACAACAAGGACTGGCACTCCAAGATCTGAGGCTGTTTTTAAGCACATAGCAGCATGTGTCATTTGAGCAGAGATTCCACCCATGTTGCAGGTAAAACCACACAAGGACCGTTTCCAGACCTGAGAGTTACCTGTGTGGTCAATTCCAGCTCCTCCTTCATGAGGACCTTCTCCTTTTCCTGATGGTTTGCCTGAGTCTTGGTGTTGAGAAGCTCAGAATGGAGGGCTGAGACTTGCTCACCGATTCCTTCTTGCTGTTTCCGGGCACATTCCAGCTCTGAAGTGAGATGCTGGACCTGTCGATGGAGCTCCACCTTCTCCTGCAATCCAGTGGTTGCTACAATTAATCTCTCCTTACAAGGATCAGGGTGGTTGCAAAAACAGACAACGTCATACCGATCAGAAAGTCCTCCCTCCAAAAAAAAGGAACTTAAGAGGGAAACTACAATACCCAAACCCCCAGCCACTAGGGCCGGTAGCCATGCTGGATCAGGGATTAGGGGACTTGTAGTCCACAGAAGTTTTTTTTTCCCAAGCCTTGCCCAAACACAGGATAGATTGTTGGTTTAGGAGTCAGGAGGTCTGAGTTCGAATCTCCACTGGGGCATCTATCTCGCAGGATGGCCTTGGGCAAGCCATAGTTTCAGCCCGAGCTACCTTACAAGGTTGCTCTGAGGAGGAAGGAGGGAGGAAGAAAGCCTTGAATGCTGCTTGGAAGCTGATGGGAGGAATGAAAAGATAGAAATGTAGCTAATAAAATATAAGATCACAGAATGCAGAACAGCAAATGTAATCAGAGTGTATCAATGTCACTGTGGCATCATAAGCCTACCCTGAAAGTAGCCGAATATGACCAGTGAAACCTACAAACCTTTTGTAACCTGAGGGATGAGCACTTTTTGAGGGAAGGGTGCAGGGCTTTGCGATGCAGCCCTTCCTGAACAAATGAGAAACAGACAGAAAATGGCAGCTTTGTGGAACTGTGTCCCTCAACGTGGGATTTGGGGGAGAGATGGGGTTTGGGGGGATGTGAACCCTGTGCTACGTCTTGCAACAACATCCTTGCTTCTGGTGGTTTCCAAAGATGGTCAATAGAACACGCTGACACACACACACACCCATACACACACCTTTCTTCAGCTGGAAGCACCTAAAAATTGGACAGACCAAGCTACAAAAACGATAGTGCCCCCCCCATTGCATGGTGCCAACCCTGGCTAAGGCTGTTATAGTCAGGCAGCGTAATGGGACCAAATTCTTACCTAGCCCCTGCTTGCTCTCCATTAGCCTTCCGAATAGCCCACCTTTTCCTCCCCAAACGACCTGCAAGTTTCCGATACCTGAAGGAGTCGCATCCGGTCTGACAGAGTCGCTTTCAGCTGCAGGTCTAACCCATTCACTTTCTCCACCAGTTGGTTCTTTTCCTGTTGAGTTAATGAGCAGATCGTTCGACCAGAATGCAGTTTTAATTGTTGTTCTGCGGCTCGCAGTGTGGTTAACACAAAGGAGAAGGAGGTGTAGCCCTCCAGATGATGGCGGACTCTGACTCCTAATAGCCCAAAATGGGCCAGCCACCAACATCTGGAGGGCCACAACCTCCTCCACCCTTGGCTTGGAACCGTGTGGCTCCTAACCACGGGTCCCCAGATGTTCTAAGACTGCACTTCCCAGAATTCCCAATTAGTGATGAAGGGTTTGGGGAGCATTAGTTCAAGAACATCTGGGGGCCCCAAGGTTGGGAATCATTGGCTTAGAATGTATCATAGAATTATTGTTCTAAATCAAGCCGTAGGCTCACTTAAAACCCAGGAGCCGTTGTGTTTCTGCCCAGGTCTTACATGGATCGAACCACCAAACGGCAGAGGGTGTGTTTTCAGCTCAAATCCAAACGAACTGACCCTAGCAGATGAGAATCTATCCCTTGCCGGGGTGGGGTGGGGTGGGGTGGGGGAAGCTGGGGAGGAAATGACTGCCTCAAGCAGACATGAAACAAGGACACAGATTGGCTTCCCTCTAGAAACAAGAACCGATTAATTAAGGGCTGATTGAGGGATGCTGCAAAGACCTCAAGGGAACAAGAACCAGCTAATTTAAGTAGTAGGGCCCACATGCAAGGGAAGGGGGCCAGGAGGACAATTAAAGAGCCACTTAACTGAGGAACCTTTAGAAGCCATGCTGGCACTTAATGAGGCTACTGATACCTGGCACAGGAAATCTAGATGTTTTATATTATAATATCTAGGATCCATGACCCCACGACCTTTGCTGGCTGGGGCTAAGAAAAAATGTCATCCAACGCAGGAGGAAGCCAGCGGGCGGAAAGCGTTGTCTTATGTTGATAGTGTGCAGGTAAAAGCACCTCCAGCAGAAACTATTCCTCCCGCTGGCTTAGCAAGAGCCACCTTT